CGTTATAGTGTCTGGTTTCTTTGTGGAGTACACATGGGGATGATCAAAGCCACGTAAGGCAAGAACACTCATTTGAAGCTAGGTGTCAGTATGGTGGCGCCCTTGAGAGCAAGTAAGATCAAGATGGATGGATGGTTTTAAAAGGAGTGCCAAAATGTCATTTGAAAAGTGAGGTATATTTTCAGCATTGTGAAAAATATTTCCCCAAACCCTCTGAGTTTATCTTTCTTCATTTCAGTAGAACATCAATTTTAAAAGTTTTCTGGGAAAAGCAATTGTTAACAAGCTGTTGCTAGGAAGAAGAGTTAATATTTCTCTGAAATAAAAATAATAATCTTGGAAGAGTCAGTTGACATTAGTGTAGAGTTAGTACAAAGGATGGGATTCAAATTTTTTAACAACAGGTTCTGTGGGCTAGGTGGGTGTGGCCATGTGACTGGGTGGGTGTGGCTTCTGGTTGGGGTTTTTTTTTGCAGCAACACCCCCCTCCCCATTTGTTTTTTTTTTTTTTGCCTCCTGGGCCTCAGGCTAGCCTCCTGGGTGGGACATTTTTGCTCCCAGAAAGCTTCCCTGGGGCCCAGGAAGGCAAAAAAAGGAGCAGGGGGGGGCGCAGTACTGTCCTACATTCCGTTTTGGGGACTCCTGGGCCTCAGGCAAGCCTCCTGGGGGGGCGTTTTCGCTCCCAGGAAGCTTCCCTGGAGCCCAGGAAGGCAAAAAACGTAGCAGGGAGAACAGGACACAGCACCCACCCCTCATCCCCTGCATGCCCCTTTTTGCCTCCTGGGCCTCGGGGAAGCTCCTGGGTGAAGCAGTAAGACAGCGAGGGGGATCCAGGCACAGCTGATCATTGGAACAGCTGATCGTCAGGAGGGGTGGGGAAGAAATACTTTAAGGAGTAATTGGGTGGGGAGAACACATTCAGCGATGTCGGGCATGTGCCGGTAAGGTCTGATTGGGCAGGGAGGGGAGGCACGGGCGGAGACAGGTGGGGCCATCCAGGAGCATGATTTGCCGGTTCTCCGAACTGCGCAGAATCATTCTATAGAACTGGTCCGAACCAGTAGAATCCCACCCCTGGTTAGTAGCTTATCTCAGCAATGTCCTGGAAAAATAAATGGGTATTTTGTTAGTTAAACTGGACTGAATTGGATGGATTTGATAGTATTAAATGCTGTAAGAAATACTAGTAATTTATGTCTTGCCATGATGTGCAAGATTTATTTACATGATGTAATGGAATATATATTTGCACGATGTAGTGGAATTCACGCCAATTTACCATGCAGATTTAAATTCTGAACTTGAGCTCTGTGAACATGTCTTCCACAGGTAAATAATGAAGCCTAGATATTATCCTTTTTTTTAATCTAATTTGGCACTCTTTATAAAACCATTCATCTATTTTGATCTCACTTGTTCTCAAAAGAAACATCATACTGGCTCCTAAGTTCAAACTAGTGTTACTTTCTCGCCTCACATGGTTTTCATCATGATCTTATCTAATCCTCCTACAAAGATTTTAAAAAAGGTAAAGGAGCCCCTGCAGATTTTACTCTGCTAATAGTTGCCAACTATAGGGGGCAGTGCTCATCTCCATTTCAAGACCATTGAGCCAGCGCTGGCCAAAGACATTTCCGTGGTGATGTGGCCAGCATGACCTCACAGAACGCTATTACCTTCCTGCCGAAGTGGTACCTACCGGTATTTATCTACTCATATTTAAATGCTTTTGAACCTCTAGGTTGGCAAAGATTGGGGCAAGTAATGCGAGCTCACCCCATTATGTGGTGCTCAGGTTTCAAGTCTGGGATGCTGGCTTTCCAGCCAACAAGCTCAGTGTTTTAACTGCTAAACTACTGTGCTTCCCTCCTCCTACGAAGGAGTATAACTAATTTCTCTTGGAGATGTATTTCCAGTCTTACTAAGCATACTGTTTAAGATCAGGATCCAATAATAATTGCAATTCAAATGAAGAATATCTGTCATTTACATCTTTGACTATGTGTATGTGATGAACTTGACCGTAAGAATGAATTTTGATCAATCTATGCTTGGAATAGACAGAAGATCATGGAGAATAGCAGTGCTAAGATTCTATGAGTCTTCCAAATCCAGATGGACAGGCAGGTACTGGCAACACAAGGAGACATTGTGTTACTAGACAAGGACTAAAAGACAGTGATGGTGATAGATGTATCTGTGCCAAATGACAGCAATATCAGAAAGAACCAGTATGAGAAATTGGACAAATACCAGGATCTGAAGGACAAACTAGAGGAGATGTGGGAAGTAAAGGCCAAAGTATTCCCAGTGGTTGTAGGAACACTCAGGGCTGTGACTCCTAAGCTGGGAGAATGACTTCAACAGATCCCAAGGAGAACATCAGAGCTCTTTGCCCAGAAGAGGGAAGTGCTAGGAAAAGCTAAGATGTTGAACCCTCAAACTCCCAAGCCTATGGTAGAGCACCCGAAATTGAGAAAGATACATACAACCCTTAGGGCCATTTTAAAAATAGCTTCATATCTCCCTTAACTGTGAGATGGCTATTTAATTTATTCATAACATATTGAGCTTCTTAATGGAGCTTTTTAGGAGGAAATTTACAAATGACTTTAGGATTCTTGAAATAGAAATCAGATTGATCATCAAATCTGCCCATCCAGTTTAATTATCTTGAGCAAGGGTGTCAAACTCACGTGGTCACGGCGTCGTCATGTGATGTATTGGGACTTTTTCCCCTTTGGCTAAACCAAGTGTGGACGTGGCTAGTGCATGCCAATATGGTTTTGTTTTTTTTTTGCTTGTTTTACTATTCATTCATAGCCTTTGGGGATTGAGGCAGATTATAATAATTGTTAGATAAAATATTAAAACAAAGGTCCAGCACCCTGTAATTTTAAAGAATGAATTAGAACTGTGAATGCCCAGGTTGAGGTTTTTATTGAGTGATCCAACTTTGGATGAGTCTCTAGCTCTTAGGCCAGTGGTGGCAAACCTTTTTCGGCTCCTGTGCCAATAATTGTGCGCGTGCTTGTGTGCTCGCACTTGCGTGCCAACATCCAGAAGGCAATGCATGCTGGGGGCCCCACACACACCCCTGCGCATGCACACATGATCCCCCGCAGCGCGCTGCACATATGCGTGCCATCCCCCTACTGCACACCTGCACATGCAATCTCTCTGCCTTGTGTCACACGTCTGCGCATGCGTGCGTGATTCCCGCATCGTGCGTCTCTGCACATACGCATGCAATTCCCCCCACTGTGCATTGCACATCTGCGCATGCGTGCGTGACTGTGTGCTATGCAGCTGCGCATGCATGCACAATCACCCCCGTGTGCCATCTATCTGTGCATGTGCATGTGGTCCCTCCACGTGTCTCCCACACACCCCTGCCACCACCCTCTGTGCATGCGCACCAGATACGCAACAATCAGCTGTCAGGCAGCGGCGGTGGTGTGCATGCATGTCCAGTGGGGCTCTTCCGGGCGAGCTCTCGCATGCTGGGAGAAGTGGCTCGGCATGCCACTTCTAGCATGCGTGACATAGGTTTGCCAGCACGGTCTTAGGCTAACTTATCTCAAATAATTGTTGTATGGAAACAATGTGAAGAAAAGAAATCTGTGGCTTCTTTTGGGAAAAAGTGGAATAAAAAGAAATGAATATAACTGCTTACAGTGTTTCCATAATTAAGGTGGGACTGATTACATTCTCCCAACCCTTTTAAAGACATGACTATGATAATAGGAAGCTAATGAATAAATAATCTGAAATATCTAAAACCAATAATTCACAATAAACTTAAAAGTCAGGCCAACATTTATAGACCAGATGCTTCAACAAATAAGGGCAAATCAGAAACAGGTGGAAGAAGGCAAGCAATATTTCTAGCAAAGGGGAAATAATGGTTTCTAAAGCCCACTTGTGCCACAGTTGTTTTCTTTTAGACCTGGAAAAAACTTTAGGCATCCCCTGGATCATTGGACTTGAGTCTTAATTTTCTTAAGGCATGATGAAGCTTTGGCCTGCTCTAGTGATGTGTACATGAATAAGAATCTTGCTCAAGCCACAATAATTTATCTGTGAAGCCAAACTAATCTTGTGGATATAGAACTGCCTGAACTGCCTTCATAAATATGTATATATTACGTTATGGGAGCGCTTCCCTTCCTATTTTGATAGAAGGGTAACTACTATACAAGTTTTTATGGAAATGTTACTGTTTATTTTTCTTTCTTTGAATTATGAATCATTCTATAATCTGTGCAAAAACACATGAATAAATGCTTTAATGTTACAGATTATTCAGTCACAGCTGTAATAATATATTTATAGCATGAGATGAATAAAACAGGAAAAGCCACAACATATCACTCACTCTGGAGCCTTGCTCATTCTATGGGTGTATCAGGTTTTGCTTTTCCTGTTTCTAAATAACCATAATAAATTAACAGCTCTTAGGTTGTGTGTGGATGTTGTGTGTATAAACAGACAAAGAATGCAGAAATGCCTTTAGGCTGCTGACTTCTGGAAATCATAGTGTATAAATACATTAAGTTTATTTATGACACTGCCAACAACAATTTATACATGACTGTTTTTTCCCCTAATATAATGTTGGGAAGTTGTTTTTATAGCATTGGAATATAATGAGGATATATAATTACGTGGAGATTTTTTTTATTATCCAAAGGAACATTTCTATTGTTCCCGTTCAATATTTTAATATAATGCATGCTAGGAATATATAGTCAAGTCACAATTCAGGAGATTGTGTTTCTAGAGAAAATGCTTGAGAACAGTTGTAGCATTGAGGCCTGGCGACTTCCTGGATGCCAAAGGGCTTGGTCTTTGATTAAGTAATATTTTGGTAGAGTTACATGGCAACCCAGCATTAACCAGACCTTGACAAATGTGAGGAAAGCTCTTTAATAGGCCAGGAATGGCCAAAACGGTTCTTCATTTTATGAGTGCTTACTGTATATTCTTTTTCCATACAGTAAAGGGTTGCCTTCAAGTTCAACATTCACTTTAGAAGACAGTGCCATCTGCTTGACTTCGGAACAGAGCACGGTAGAAACTGAGACTGATAATGCTTCTGTCCTGGATGTATATTTGGTAAGTGGTCCAATCCTGTTTCTAATGTTTTAATTACGTTTTAAAGCATTTATCCTTCAACTTGACTTTGAATCTCTGTGTTGTAATCTGTTCATAGTATAGTGTAACTATTTCATTCCTGAATATGCCTTTCAATAAACTATAAAATGTAAAGTATTTGCCAAGCTATCTCTTTGTATTTTTCCCCAACATTGATAATGCAGGATGCACAAATTTTGAGGACCTCCATACATGATGATTACACCTTTGTTTGGTAATAGATTTATTTTTAGTTCAGAAATGGTTTTCAAAGTAAAGCATTAGAGCTTTTCAGACCCACCACCCAGTTCTTGTCTCCTAAGCACTTCCGATTCCCTATCCAGAAGGCACAGTCTTTGTGTTACAAGGATCTCAGTAATGGAAGTGACCATGGGCCACCTGGGAAGTGTCTCTGACGTTTTCTCTTCATTTCTTTTGTGGATGTGATAACGAGCAGATTGGTTATTATTACAGATTATTCTGTTAATTTCCCAGAGTGTTTCATTTCCATTTGCATATTCATTAAATTAGATCGTGTTTGGGAATACTACTATAAATAATTGTTTTAGGATTGTATTCAAGAGTAAGCGTTTCTTGCCCCTAATGATTATATTTTAAGAAATAAAATATACCTTTTTGAAAAAACCAATTCAGATTCTAGGGGAAAGGAAACTGTTAGGAATACTGTAATGTCAGAGTACCTTTTGGCAATTGCCTGTGTCTGCGGCGCCTCTGTATTCAACATGGCAGATGTCAGGACATTTGAATCCATTTTTAATTTTTATTAACCATAACAGCTTCCTGCAGGGGAACTGTAAAAAGATAGCATAATGCAGCCCTCTGCTCAGAAAGTTTTCTTTAATGTTCTAGTTTTGGCTGATTGTAACTACCATACTTTGAATAAATAGTGTGTTACTTAGCTACAAATCTATTCTATCAGCCGCTGAAATTCTAGGCCTCGTGTGTGTGTGTGTGTGTGTGTGTGTGTGTGTGAATAAATATATTTCTTTTTATGTATGTAGAGAGAGAATATGAGAGAGGGAGAGAGAATATTTTATGTCTATATGCACTGAAAGACTTATATTAAAACTTCATTATTTCATCTTGAGAAGCAAACTCTGTGTGAGTCTCTTACTTTTATAGACTAAACACAGAAGTCTCTTCTTGAGTCAAAGTTTGTCTGTAGCAAAGCAACAAAAAGTGGAAATCACCAATAAGCAGTCTTTGTTTTTGCTCTTTTGTCCAAGTGTTAGCATTCATATACACAGCCACCCTAGTTACTCTGAGTGAAAGGCTTGATCCGAGCAGCCAAGATTCTGTTAAAAATCCCTGCTTTCATTTTAAAGAAAAACAAAGATGATTTAGTATCTTTTTATTTTGACTATCTTTGTGCATGAATACAAAATAACTTACAATAAATTCAAGGCATACAGGAAGGAAGAAAGAATGTGAAATAAAAAAGCTGAACAAAACAAGTCAAAGATTCAATGCCATTAGATATGTATGGCCAAACATAGAATGTCAGGGCCTTTTTATCAAGTTCTGTCGTCATCAGATGTGATATGCGTCACTACTAGGGGTATTGATAAACTAACTAAGAATGAGCAGCTTTTGAACAGAGCTTATACCTAGCAATTACTGGCTCTGAACAGTTTTACAAACTTGTTCTTTGTGGGATAAGGTCAAATCATGCATGCGTTTAATAATTTCATGCATAGAATAATTCAATTATAATGTTACCAACAATCTCTGTATCACTTATTTCGCAAGATTAAAATCAGCATTTCAACTATTTTGTTAAGTGAATTAATTCTATTGCCAAAACTAGAACCTTCTAATCTTAAGTCTTCAAAGAAACAGTAAACAAGTTTCAGTGTTGTCTTTTAAAACACAATGCTGCCACCTATTGCTGATAAAATAGCATAGGCATCTTTTATTTACCTTGACATGTCATTTGTTATGTATAAAGGGTATGTATAAAATTTCTAGCTTACTATTTGCCAGGGAAGCTCAGAACAAAGCAATAATGTACTGCTACTTATCCCAATTATCAGTTTCATAAGTTCAGTTAAAAAAAAATTTTTTTTAGATTATAAATGTAACTGCACTACAGTATTTAACTGCAAGCTTTTAAAACTTTTTAAACATAAAACAGTTGCCTGTTTGATATTTAAATGGGAAAAATGTGGCTCATAAATATAACTACCAGTATTAATTGCCAAGTATTAATTACCAACATGATCTACTAATTTATAACCTATTAGTACAATTCTAGCTATCATAGCCTTCATATAATTAATAGGTGATACAAAAATAAGCACTCCAACCCTAAACAACATCAAACAGCATCATACATTAATCTGTTAAATCTGTATGCCCCTTAGTAAAGCCCCTAAAACGTAGAATTCTGTTAAAGTTAATTATGTAGCCATCAGCAGTATAAGGAGTAAATAGATTAGTGAAACTATCAGTACTTTTAAGTAATGCCCAATGCACATCCAAGTAATAAGGCCTTAGATTTGAACAGTAAAAAGCTTCATTTTCTTTTGTAAATAACAAAATTCATTCTTTCTCTAATTCGTTACCTTGCTCAAAAATATATACATTCTCACTCAGGGATTTCCAGATTTCATTCCTTTTTCCTTTATGTATACTTTAGCATCACAATCTCCAGAAGATGCTAAAATAAAAATCTAGATTGACATATGTTTTCTGGTACGTATATCAGCAGCCTCTCTAAGATGGAAAGGCTCTTTAGATCTGTCTCTGATACTGCACTGGTTTAAAGATGTTTAAAATATTGATACCCCACCTGACTTTGGATACCTGATTTTACAATAGAGTGTATTGTGCATTATTTGAAGGATATTTCTCCAATTGATCCAGTACTTCCATTGCTAACTATATAATTAGCTTAAGCACAATTCTATATTTTTAGAGACTTTATGAAGTGGCTTTCAAAGATTTATGTATTGTGCTGTTTTTGAGAGGTTTGTTCAGATAATTGTTGATTGGGAGCCACCCAGAGTTCAGCATAAAAGGGGCATATAAATGCTTTAAATAAATAAAATATATTTAACCTCCACATGTGTTAGGAATGCATTTTCTATGAATTATAGTACCGTCATATCTGAAAGGTGCCAGGCTGGGAAGGGTTGTTCTAGTGTATTGTGTATCACAATACTGCTATTCATGTGTAGTTAGTAAATAATGTATTATGCAGTATCATCAGTATCTAATTATGTTGCACATTATGTTCTATGTGACTCATTCCATAAAACATGGACGGTTACCAACATTTTCAGTATAATTGAGTATGATTTATAGTTGCTGGCTACATTTTTTTTGAGCAGCATTAGATTTCCAACATGCTTCCCAACATTTATTTTTCTGTTAATACGGTCGGATTGATTCTACCACAAATACTAAGTTCATGTAAGGCTATAAAAAATGACTTTGGGTGTGTGTGTTGGTGAGTTTTGTTTGGTTTGTTTTAGTTTGTAAGGTTTCTTTTTTAGATAAATGGTTTTAAATAGCATCACAATTTTATTTTAACAAATACTAAACGCTTGTGCAAAATTTAATTTAAAACTGAATATGATAATATAGTTCATACCAATGTGACAAAATTAATGTGAAGTCATGTAGTTAAATGTTTGGACCTCACAGAGTTTAAGTTTTTAAGCTTTATCTAAGCAGAAAAGAAGCATTAATGTTGTTAAAAATAGATGCAGAAGAACCATCTTTGAAGCCAGACTTTCTAGCAGTTTTAATTCTGACTGTACAGGTGATATTATATTGTGGTCTCACAATCAGTCCTACCATGAAATTCCCAGGAGTAGAGCAGTACTGTCCTTCAGCTCAAAGATACTACCTTCCTGAAATACACAAACATGTTTTTCTAATAAAGTATATCACATGAAGAAAGAGTGTTATGTTATCAGTTTGATATTGATTGACTTTTGTTTTCTACCAAAATATTTAGCAGGCATATTGGCAGCATGTTGTATTTTATTATTTTAGAAACATTTTTGTTCCTAAAAACAAAACTCAATAACCTGAAATTGCTGCAGATTTCGTCACATGTAATAGAATTGGAACACCCACTGAAAAAGAGTGAGTGATAAGGAGAGAGAAGGAAAGCAAATATATGTATAATTGAGAGCAGATCATAAAAATGTCAGAAGTATTATTATTGTGCCGCTGGAGATTCAGTTTTAACTGCCAAGGTATTACTCAAAAAATAGTTTCTAATATGTACCATTTTGTGTTTTTAGAAGAAAAATAGATCATTGCAGCAGCTAGCTGTTATTATTGTATAATAAACATGCAGTATTAAAACATATGTGTGGTTACTATAGAAAAGCTGATCTATATCTTAGGACAAAAAGCAGGACACAAAGGCAGCAAAACATTTTTCAGCTTTACAGGTGTAAGAAAATAAGACTCTTGAATTTTGTTCTTTTGTAAAATGTTTTTTTTCTCTTTTTACAGTAACAGAAGATGAAAGAAAATGAACATATTTTAACAAATGCACTTTCTGCACTCCAGATTTATGAGGAAAATTTTTGTTAAGCCTGGTAAACAAAGTCTTAATCATCAGAGCTCTACAGAAATTGTCCAACAGTTCTTGAACTATAGACATCCCACCCTAGACACGGCAGATGAGATTGGAAACATTCCACAATTACTCATGGCCTGCTGTTGCCTGCTCAACTGTGAAGCCTTGCCTCTTCCATCCTACTTCTACTTTCCTATTATCTTTTCAGGACGTGAAGGTGGTATTTTCATTTGCATGTATTCCGTGATCATGGACAAAAATATCTAATCCGCCTTTCCTATTTAAAGAGCCATCTTCACAGTGGTGACTACTTTATCAATCAATTCTGCTTTTCTCCCTTTCCCCCAGAATTATGATTGCTCATCTGTTAATTTCATACAAGAGGTAGTATGTCTGCACATAACTTTATGGAAACTATCTTCTATAAAGAAATGTTCACTATTTATTAGTGAAATACAGAAGCTATTTATAACAAAGCCTTATGTTGTGTACATATATTGTCTTTGAAATATTTGTGATTAGATATATTGCTTGTAAAGGATAAATTACATAATTTATTTAGTATATTCTACTGTAAACTATAGTTTTATTGACAAATAAAGTATTTTGTTCTCAAAATAAATATTGCTGAGAGTCTTTAAACTTAATGGATGCCTTATTTGTATCAAATTCCATTTTTAGACTGCTATGGTACATTAGACAGGGTGAGAGCTTTTTACACACAACATGATTACAAAGCAAAATGCTAAATCAAAATAAATAAGATTTCATGTTTTATTTTTCATGGAGAAGAAGTGTGCAATTTACATTCCATCTGAGGAAATAATAGGACTTTTGATTAATCTTAAATAAAATAATACAAGCTTCAGATATCTGAAAATACTTAAGAAGCTGGATGGTAAAATACAGCATTTTAAGAAATATAAAAATATCCATTTTAAAATGTATGTAGAAACATAGGATTGAGGTGTTTACAATGTGTGTTCCAGAAATAGAAAGAGATTATATAGCACGCAAACATGGCCTAGACAGGTTTTTCCTCCTAGCTACAATACCTCAAAAACAACATTTATGGAAGACCACTGGGAAATATAAAACATGAATCAGTAGAATTGTGTGTAACCTTTTCTCCATGGCACTTTGATCTATAGTTTTATGGCTTAGAAAATACTCTTTCATGTAAGTGGAAGGATTTCTGTTTTTGCTAACTGAAATCTTGTCTTGCAAGTGAATGTTATGTTTGCTTATTTCTTTCAATCTGTATTTATGCATGAATAAAGTGGCCATAATACATTATTTAAAAGTTTACATTAAGTATGTAAAGGCTCAGGTTTGCCTCCTAGTCCATGGAATTTAATTTTGTGCATGTTTGTGCACATATGTATATAAAAAATGTCAGCATAACCATACTGATTATCTAAGATTATTCTAGAAATCCTAAAAAAATATGATAATGCACCAACATATCATGCTTGTCTTACTCTGCTCACTGCCAGAAGTTCGATCCTGATGGCCTTAAGGTTGACTCAGCCTTCCATGCTTCCGAGGTGGGTAAAATGAGGACCCAGATTGTTGGGGGCAAAAGGATGACTTTGCAAACTGGTTAGAAAGGGATGTAATGCACTGTGAAGCAGTATGTAAGTCTCAGTGCTTATTGCTATTACTATCTTGGATTCATTCTGTCTGTCCCTAGAAATATTCCCAGTCCAAGACTTAAAAAGAGGCTTATTGGTTTCATCAGCTGATGCATCTAACTTTCAGCTGGGCTTCAGAATCTCCTTTATGAAAAAAAAAGTAGTTTTTGCACTGAAGAACTAATTAAAACATGCCTGGCTGGTTTATAGGTCAGTGCTTTGTATGAACTCAAGGACAGCAGTTTCTATATGATTCAAAGCATCTTGGGCTATTTCAGTCAACCACAATTCAGCTTGCTATGGCTTTTGTATGTTTCGGGAGCATGGCCACACAGATGGCTATTGTAAAAAACTAAGGATTGCTTTCATAGTTGAGCTGCGTGCATTTAAGCCAAAAGCTTGTGCTACGGTTGTTACAGTTGGAGAAAGGAGCTCCAGGGCATGTTGCGCAAGGAGCACTTGCCCACATCTCTGTAGATCAGATACCTCTCTCCCCAGGATTGCACTGCAGCTGCAAGTCTGTACAATGCAAGGAGAAAAAAAATGCAGCTGTTTGAAAAAGTGGCAGACGAGTGGTGTGGTAACAGCCCACAAGCTCCAATAATTTTTTTCCCTACCAATTTGAAGTGCTGCGTTGCCCTGCTTTGCTCCTGTAGGCCCCAAACACTGTCTTAGTGTTTCCTGTTTTTAATACAGGCCAATCTCAGAAGTAAAAAAGGAGAAACTGGGTGTCTTCTGTTTTTGTTTTTTTTTCACTCAGTGACTGCCCCCTTCCCCTCACCGTGCTCTCTGGTCTTCTTACCTGCTTCCCTCAAGGCCTCAGAACTCAACATTAAAAAAAACAACCACACATTCGGCCATCTGCTGAGTCATTTGTGCTCATGTTTTAATTGAGAAGAATATGAAGGATGCCCCTGCTAAGAATAAATTGGATGGCTGGATCTCAGAGCACAGCCCAGTGGGATTTAGAGAGGACCGTACGGTAGGTCTCTCTGAAACATTTTAGGACAGAGGATGGATGGTGGTGCTGTCTCACTGTAAATACTAGTAAATCCCAATCAAAGCTGGAAATGCTTTTTGCAGATGTACTGGTGAACTACATAATATGGTCAGTTAACCCGGGGCGGGCAACTATGGCAGGTTAATGACCTATAGCCTTCTCTGCTGCTGCTCCTGCCCTCTAGAATATCTTGGCCCTCCCTGATGTAAGGTTGGCCCCAACCCTCCCTTCATAAAGGCCTAAAGACATGGTTTTGCCAGTGGGCCTGGGGCCTCGGTGGGGGGAACAGCGCAATGGAGGTGGTTGATTGAGTAATAATAGATCCCACCTCTCCACCTGCACCCTCCCCGTGTGTCTTTGTTTTTAATGTTTGATTTTAACCTTTACATTTTAACTTATATGTAAGTCATTCAGATTTACCCAGAGTAAGATGGACAGCCAATAAATTTTATAAACAAATAAACAGTATGACTGGCTCAGGAATTCTGGGAATTGAAGTCTTCAGGTCATAAAGTTGCCATAGATGTCCACCCTTGAATTAAATCATAGAAATAGTTTGATATGAACAGTCTTTCTATGTTTTTGGACTGTTACAATCATCAACAAACCAACATGTTAATATTTTTAAAAGAAAGGCAGTCGTGCTATACAGGATTGGCAGGGACTGTCATGATTTTGAGGCCCTCTGTGGCAGTCCAAACAAGAAGCACAACCAGGATACCAGCTCTAGCTTTCTTGTAAGGTTGTATTAACACAATCTTGCATGTCTGAAAGTATTTTTGTTCTCCTTTTATCTCCAGGAAACTAGGGAAGGTCCCTTCCAAAATGCTTCCCACACTTCCTCTCCCTCTTTTATATGCTGATTGCCCAGCATTTGACTTCTGTCTCCCAAGATCATTCCCACATACCATTGGTGGTGGTGGAGGCATCCTGGAGGAAACTCCTTCAGTGGAAAATGCAGATTCCTGCCCATGCACAAAGTCTGCCTGTCAAAGAGAGCACATGTGAAGGAAAAAACATGCAAGAGAAAAGACTTTGCTACTAGCTGAGTCTTAGGCTCTACTATAAATGTATCGTTGTGACACACTATAAATACAGATGAACTCAGGTGAGAACTAGACCAGGTGTTCTCTACTCACTGTTTGGGAAAGGATCCTGGGTGGGGGGGCGGCGGGAAAGGGGTAGAAATGGCCGGCAGGAGGATATATTCAATTTTTGGCCTGGTGCTTGATTCTTTAGGAAATTCTGATAAGGTACTTAAGCCAGTCAGACTATTTACATTATGCCTCTCCAAAGAAATAAGCAGCACTCAGCATTTAAACAATTGGTTTCTCTGTACTATAAGCATTTTTTTTAAAAGCTGATTAAAGGAGGGAAGAATTCCACTTATTCTGTTTTATTTTTAAGAACTATTTAAGTGCTGAATTGAAACTATTCCTGTCCAAGCCTACATTTTAAGCTGTGTAATTGGTGTTGGCACCAGCTGGATAAATTTGTTTGGGTGTAAAAGCGAACCAGTTTCAGGACTGTCACTGATCAGTTTGTGATTGGGAGACTACTGAGAGGCCCTAGAACCACAGGTGTAGGCTCAATAGGTTACAGAAAACTATTCTGGAAGGAGGGCAAACCACTTCTATCCTACTGATTGACTGTGTAGTTATCAGGAACCGAGATTAAACAAAGAGTCTTTAGCTTGCATTTGTATGATTCTCAGAACTTGTTTGACTTGATTTCCCAAAGCCACAGCACATTGTTTCTTCCAAAATAACCTTTAAAGGAATACTAGATGACCCATGACCTGTTTCCTTACCTAAAAAGAGAAACAAGAATGGCCACTAGCAGCTAACAATCAGCTGTGGAATGAAACAACTGCAGAGTTTTGGGTCTCCAACAAGGTAACTCACGTTGTGTGTGCAGTGTTCAATGCCTCACAAAACTGCCCTGCAGAGACCTAGTTTACTTTTCCAGGCCCTATAATCTGAGAGCAAAATCAATATGCTGTAGAATGTTTTCCAATGCATGTAATTATTCTAGTCTGGCTACTTAGCATAAGGAAGGCAAACAACAACCAAGCAGAGCACAAAGAGAAAACAGCAGCAGTTTTCAGACTTAATTTGAACAGGATTTTAGCTCTGGGTAAGGCTATATGTTTAGCCACAGAACATGTAATTAAAATGGTGGTTTTCTTTTTTGCACACAATACACAGAATGACAAACAAGCCAACCACATTTTATCCTAGCACATTGAAAGAAGACATGTTTACTTTATGTTTCAGTGTTTGGTGTGAACCCAGGCAACTGGGATGAATATTGAATAAACCATCTGCACCATAACTGATGGCTCTTAGCATGTTTTGTAAACCCTATAAAATATTCAAAATATATAAGAGGGTTAGACTATGATTGCAACAAGTAACCCAGTCACAAAAACTGTAACTTTCTCTGTATTATGCAAAAGTTCTATTTCATGTATGTTACTATGTAGCAGTAAGTCACAGAACCCAAGTGAATGTGGCAGGAAGGCCCTACAACAGGAGTGTCAAACTCGCAGTGTCATGTCACGTGATGTACCGTGACTTTTTTCGTCTTCACTAAAATGCGAGTGGGCGTGGCCAGTACATGATGCATCTGGCCAGCGGGCGACGAGTTTGACACCCCTGCCCTACAAGATGCTAAAGAAACAAAAGTTTGCAGTTGTGTTGTTTTATATTTTATTGTACTGAAAAAGTCAAAAGTCACCACTTTTTTCTTTCTCTTTATACTTTTTTTCTTTCTCAATTTTTTTTCTGTATTTTTATTTTGTAATTAAATTTAATTAAAATATTTCTAACATATGCTAAAGAAAGAGGTTTGGGCTTATTTGATTTGAAATTATAGTTTGTAGCTTGTTATTTAGTTTGGATGAA